GACTATACCTTAAAGACCAAAAACTCTACTCAAAAGCTCCTAGACACAATCAACAGCTATAGCAGGTAGCAGGATATAAAATCAACATAGAAAAATCATTAGCTTTCTATACACTAATAATGAACAAACTGAGAAGAATATATGAAAACAATTCCATTTACAATAGCCTCAAAAAAAATCAAATACCTAGGTGTAAACCTAACAAAGGATGTGAATGACCTACAAGGAAAACTATAAACTTCTGAAGAAAGAGATTGAGGAAGACTATAGAAAGTGGAGAGATCTCCCATGCTCATGGATTGGTAGAATCAACATAGTAAAAATGTCTATACTCCCAAAAGTAATCTACATGTTTAATGCAATTCCCATCAAATCCCAATGACATTCATCAAAGATTGAAAAATCTACTGTTAAATTTATATGGAAACACAAAGGCCATGAATAGCCAAGGCAATACTCAGTCAAAAAACACTGGAGGTATCACAATACCTGACTTCAAACTATATTACAAAGCAATACATAAAAACAGCATGGTACTGGCACAAAAACAGACATGAAGACCAGTGGAACAGAATAGAGGACCCAGATATGAAGCCACACAACTATAACCAACTTTCTTTGACAAAGGCCTAAAATATACGATGGAGAAAGACAGCCTCTTCAACAAAAACTGCTGGGAAAACTGGTTAGCAGTCTGCAAAAAACTGAAACTAGATCCATGTTTATCACCCTATACCTATTAACTCAAAATGGATCAAGGACTTAATATCAGACCCCAAACTCTAAAGTTGTACAGGAAAGAGTAGGAAATACTTGGAATAATAGTATAGGCAAGAATTTCTCAATGGAACCCAGCAGCTCAGCAACTAAGAGATAATAGATAAATGGACTTCATAAAACTAAAAGCTTCTGCTCAACAAAAGAAATGGTCTCTAAACTGAAGAGAACACCCACAGAGTGGGAGAAAATATTTGCTAGCTACACATCAGACAGAGGACTGATAACCAGAATATATAGGGAACTCTAAAAACTAAATTCTCCCAAAATTAATGAACCAATAAAGAAATGGGCAAGTGAACTAAACAGATCTTTCTCAAAAGAAGAAATTCAAATGGCCAAAAACCACATGAAAAAATGCTCACCATCCCTAGCAATAAAAGATATGCAAATTAAAATCACACTAAGATTCCACCTCACCCCTGTTAGAATAGCCATCATTAGCAACACCACTAACAAGAGGTGTTGGCAAGGATGTGGGGAAAAAGGAACCCTCTTACACTGTTGGTGTGAATGTAAACTAGTACAACCACTCTGGAAAAAAATTTGGAGGCTTCTTAAAATCTAAACAAAGATCTACCATATGATCCAGCAATACCACTCTTGGGGATATACCCAGAAGAATGTGACTCAGGTTATTCCAGAGGCACCTGCACACCCATGTTTATTGCAGCCCTATTCACAATAGCCAAGTTATGGAAACAGCCAAGATGCCCCACTACTGATGAATGGATTAAGAAAATGTGGTATCTATACACAATGGAATTTTATGCAGCCATGAAGAAGAATGAAATGTTATCATTCGCAGGTAAATGGATGGAATTGGAGAACATCATTCAGAGTGAGGTTAGCTTGGCCCAAAAGACCAAAAATCGTATGTTCTCCCTCATATGCGGACATTAGATCAAAGGCAAACACAACAAGGGGATTGGACTTTGATCACATGATAAAGGGAGAACACACATGGAAGGTACGACGATTGGTAAAACACCCAAAAAACTAGATAGCATTTGTTGCCCTCAACGCAGAGAAACTAATGCAGATACTTTAAAGTTACAGAGGCCAATAGGAGAAGGGGACCAGGAACTAGAGAAAAGATTAGTTTGAGAAGAATTAACTTAGAAGGTAACACACATGTACAGGAAAGCAATGCAAGTCAACTCCCTGTATAGCTATCCTTATCTCAACTAGCAAAAACCCTTGGTCCTTTCTATTACTGCTTATACTCTCTCTTGAACAAAATTAGAGATAAGGGCAAAATAGTTTCTGCCTGGGAGCAAGAGGTTATGGGGTGGGGTAAGGGAGGGAGTAGGGGTGATAAGGAAGGGGTTGGGGGGAAGGGGGGAGAAATGACCCAAGCATTGTATGCACATATGAATAAAATAAAATAAAATAAAATCTAAAAAAATTCTAAAAAAAAAAAAAAAGAAAAATTAGGAGCTAAGCATGGTGGCATATTCCAGTAATTCCTGCACTTGGGAGGCTGAGGCAGGAGATTTTGCATCTTGAGTCCATCCTGGGCTATATAGTGAGATTCTGTCTCATTATCAAAGAAAATAAAGCAAAGCAAATTTTCAAAACAAAAACAAAGAGGAAAAAATGGACTTGATTGTATCAGTTCTCAGATGGAAGCTGAATTTGCAACTGAATGTCTTGCTTTACCTGAAAATTTATACAGCAGTATTTGAGGACACAGACTCACACAGGGAGAAGTAACGCACAATTAGGGGCTGAAAGACAAGTAGCAGAGCTGGCAGAGACCTTTGTCTATCACCTCATGTTGGAGGTGAAGCCATTTGTCCAGCTCTGGTAGGGAGCATGTGACACTGGGTATAATCGCCATGTTTGCATAATTGCATGTTTGCGATGATATCACTGGCATTCTGTGGGTGCTGGTCAACATTTTAGGGAAGCATAAAATTTAGTCAACATGAATTTATCCCCACTTAGCATTCTGTTGAAGTTCAGTGGCCTCTGCCCAAAGTCTGGGAGGAAGATGTTCGCAATGTCAGTTCTGAAGGTTTAGAGGAAGGAGAGGCAATGGAGTTTTCATGCTTTCTGGGAACGTCTCTGAGAACTTTTCCTCTGTCTTTATCTCTCTCTCATGTTTGCTCTGCCTTTAGTGTCCCCAGGACTTGTTTGCCTCTTATCTTGCTGAGGTTTTCTTACTCTTCCTATGAACACTGCAGTGTCACTCCCATGACAACAATTGCAGTTGTTTACCTTGTGGTGTTTTGTGCAATTTTCCTCCTGACACTTTACACAATTTTATGTTTCTATTGTTATCCTAGGACAAGCCTGTCTGTGTTTATTTAGCTCCATGTACCTTTAGAACAGTGCTTGGAGCCCGGAGCACAATGTCTGCTCAGTAGATGTCACCTGGAGAGTGGAAAGAATGGATGAATGAGGAGATGGCAGGAGAGGACATGAAGCCACACTAGAGAAGCCTTGGGGCAAGTGTGTGGTGGTCTTTCAGTCTAGGGTGATGAAAATTCTGCCTGTCTAACTCAAGGTCTCATGTTTACTAGGTAGGTGTTCTTACTATTTGAGCCTTCTGCCAGGCCCACTGACTCCAGTTTTGTGGCATGCCACCTCCTCCATTTATCTCCAAGGCATTAGTAGATGAGGTGACCTCATGTCACAACCTGTTTTCCCTAAAGTCAGTAGATTGTGTCAACTCCAACAATTTACCAAGTGCAATGCTTCCTTGCAAATTGTGGGTTCCACACACCAACCTGAAGGCCAATTCTTCATATCACCTACAGAGAAGAGGATCCAGTGTACTGTCTGTGGTGGAGCTACTAAGGGCAAGAACTTCTGAAACACATATCTGAGGGCCTGGAAGAGAAGGATCCAAATGGAAATCAGGAGTCCAACTGGAAGGCAAAGGTATAGACAGGATGACTTTACACTCTGCTCCTTTCTTTGTCAAGCACTACCAAAAGAGCCTCATGGCCACATCACTCCAAGCATTGATATCTACAATATGTAAGACACTCCAACAACTCAACAGGAGAAAAACAATATGATTAAAAAGTAAGCCAACTATCTGAATAGAGAATTGTCAAAAGAATATAAATGGATGCCACCATGCACATAAAAACACTGGTCAATATCATTATCACGAAGGAAATGCAAATCCAAAGACCAATGAGATATCATCTCACCATGTTAGAATGGACATCATGAAAAGAACAAAAATAATAGATGGTGGGGAGGATATGGTGAAAAGGGACCCTTGGCTCACTTCCATAACCAGTATGGAAGTTTCCCAAAGTGCTCAACATAGAACATCCATAGGATCCAGCAGTGCCGCTTTGGGTATGCATCCAAAGCAATAGGAAATCAGAATGTCACAGAGACATCTTTGTTTATTGCAGCACTCACTGTTCAAATGGGAACAACCTAAGTGTCCAACACCTGATGAATGGATAAAAAAATGTGGTCCATGTGCACAATGAAACACTTTTAGTCATCATAAGTAAAGAATCCGGTCATATCTACATGAGTAGAATGGGAGGACACTACATTAAATGAACTATCTCAATCACAGAAAGAGAAATTCCACATGTTCTCACTCATGGGAGCTAGAAGCATTGTTCTCTAGAAGTGGTGAGAGGAATCGAGATGCCTGAGGCTGGGAGCACAGGAATAGAGAGGCTGGATCACGGTTACCAAAATACAGCTAGATAATGATATTACATTCTAGTGTTCTATAGCACAGCTGGATGAGTACACTTATCAGTTAACTGTCTCAAAATAGGTAGAAAAGAAGATTTTGAATGTTTCTAACAGGAACTGGTGGTAAGTTTGTGGTGGTGGATATGCTAATTATATTAATTTGATCATTACACATCACATACATGTACTAAACACCACATAGCACCCTGTATGCTTGTACAATAATTGTATCAAGTAAAAATAAAAAACCCAACCAAACAAAAATCAAAGTCTGGACTGTGTAAGGAAGGACTCGAGAGCCCAAGGGAAGGGCCTAGAGGTGAAGAGGGATGGGAGGATCTGAGCTCACCAAGGCTTTGTCAGTGGAGACCCAGCCCAGCCTAAGGCAGCAAGAGGGCTAATTCCCTGCTTCTTCCTGAAACAAAGTCTCTGTGCTCCAATCTCTCTTTTCCTCCAAAAACTGAGGCAGAGGAAGGGAAATGTCTCTAGGACAGATTGTGACTAGAATGACAGCAGGACAGAAAAACAGACACACAGATATGTACAAGATTCTGCAAAGATGTTTATTACAAGGGCCACAGGCTGCTTCAGCTGAGCTAAGCTTGAAGAAGGTCAGGTACTGGTTTGATGAGGACAGGGGCTGACAGGCCAGGTGGACGCAGGGATTGGGTCTTCGGTCTGATGGTGGAGCTGGCAGATGAGCAATGGCAGGAGATGCTGTTAGAAGAGAGTAAATGTCTCATCCAAGTGAACTGGAACCACTGGAAATGTGACATTGTCCTGAGGAGATCGTGGATCACAAGCAATTCTGTAGTACTTCGTTGCCCGCCTCTCACTGTATATGCAGTTTTCATAATACGATGCATTTCTTGTGAGGTCACAGTCGGTTAGAGGTACTCGAACTAAACTATTATGACAGTTGTGGTGCATTTGGTTACGGCAGGTTACATTTTGTGTGCCACAAACAGTAGCAGCATTAGCAGAGGTTGTATTAAGAAAAGTATTAAACTCTTTGCACTTTCCTGTATAGTTGTTAACTCCCTGCATTGCAATATTACACTGGATGTTCCCGGTATTAATGTGCTGGATAGTAAACCACTGATACTTAGTTAAGCCAGGTGGCACGGCCTGCAACAAGGGCACTATTCCCAGGAGCCCCAGAAGCAGCAGGAGGCAAAGTCGGGAATGGAGCAGCTTTGCAACCATATTTCCTGTGGGAAAGAAGAGAAGTGACAGACCCTGAATCTTGACTCAGTTATGATACACCGTCATCCCATCCTGCACGCTCCTGCTGTTCTGTGGGTCATATGGCCATTCAATTCCCATTCCTAAAAGGTGCCAAGTCCCTGGGCCCTAACTTCAGCTGAGCCCTCTCTCCTATGCTACCCCACCACTCTCCCATCCCATCTCTAGGGCTCCATGCCTTACCCAGTCTTGTGCTGTGTCTCCTGTGAGAACACACCCAGCTGGTTGTCCTGAGGACAGGGCCAGTGGGTGCACCCTACTTGGCACAGTAGATATAGACCAGGCCTTGTGGGTGGAGCTGGCAGAGCCAGGAGCGTTCCGAGTCTTGAACCTGCAGAAACCCACAGATTGCTACATGCCCACTTGGGCAACAGATTTTTTGTTTCTTCACTTAGCTGATCAACGGGCACCCAAGAACAGCACTGCCATTCGTGTGCTAGAAGGACAGGTCACCTTGTACAGGACAGAGTGTGAGGAGGGGATCTGCATTCTGTGGATGATTCTTGCTGTTTCCTGTGAATGAGCACAGGCTTTGTGACTGTGCCTCAGCAGACACTGAAAGGTCAAGATCCATAAAGTCAGGGCTGGTACTCAGAGCAGCAGATCCAGGAAGGGCCAGTTTCACAGGGGGATTTCCATTCCTGTTTCATCTTGAAGTCCTCTGATGGTGGCTTGTACACTGTGTGTCCCTCCCTGCCTGTGTCAATGAACAGGGTATTGGGTTAGGTGTCCTCACTGACACTGATTCTCCCTCCTGCCTGTCATCCTGTCTGCTAAGTCAGCGTGACACTTGCCTGGCTCCTGGAGACATTTATTTATGATTATCAGACTTGTTGCTGTGTCCTGAGAAATGACTAAGACAATACCTGCCCTGTGTGTGTGTTGAGAGCAGGCCCCGTGAGAGTTCTCTGATTGTCCTTGTTTGTTGTTCACGTTTACAGCTCCCACATTTGCTCCAGAGCCAGTGCAGGAAGTCTAGCTGTACACTGAGCACCTTCAGGAGAGGACTTCTAAGATATTTGAGGCCTGAGAAAACTTAAGCCTATGTTGATCAAAATACACTACAACTTCTATGTGACTTTTTGCTTGGTCAGGTTGGCTCTTGTCTTCTGGTGTGGTGCTGGGGATCCAACACTGAGCCTTGTGCATGCTTGGCAAGTGCTGTGCCACTGAGCTGCATCTCCAGCCTCACTGTGATGTCTAAACTTTTCACAGATCTCTAGTATTTTGTAGCATAACCAATCATGCAGCCAAATTTACTGTCACATTTCCATATGTGATTCATACTGTCATTGTGAGGAATAGCCAGAATTTTGCCCTTGTGTTAAGTATTTTTTTAAATGGATGAACATATTATTATACTGTGTCAGTAAAAGACTTCTTCATTTTTGTAAAAACCACCATGGAGTATCCCGGTGTCATGACTGATCAATGTCTAGCTGTATAGACTCCATGAACAAGAACAGAGTGATCAACACGAGCAGTTTCTTCAGCCCTAGGATACTCTTGCAGTGTCTGCTCTTGACCTGCTGACAGGGAGATGGCAACTATCAGCATCTTCTTAGACACAGGCTTCCCTCATGCAATGACTGTGTATGGAAATGACAGTGCACACAATTTATGGAATTGTCATTGTAACCTGGTTGTTATGGATTGGATCTTAAATGCCCCTAAAGGATTACATAATAAGGCTTGGTCACCCGTTACAGCACCACGTGCATGTGGAGGTGGGAATTCTTGGTAGGAAGCTCAGTCATTGGTTCATGGCCCTTAAAGGGGATTTTGGGACCCTGGTTCCTTCCTCTCTTTCATTGCTTCCTTCTGCCACAGAGAGTGCAGCTTGCTCTACCATGCACTCCCCACCAGGATGCTTTGGTTAGCCACAAGTCCCCAAACTGGAGCCAAATTGTGTCTTTCCTCATTTTAAGTTGTTTAACTCTGGTATTTGGCACAGCATTGGAAAGCTGGCTCACATAATGGTACTAAATGTTTCAAATACAATGAGATTTGATTTAGAAAGTTCAAAAGACATAACCAGTCATGCAGCATAACCATTGGGTGTGCTGGGTCTCCTGTCTCTTGGACCAAGAAGGAGGGACTTCCTCCAACAAGAAGCATCTACCTTCTCGATAGGGGGCCTCCTACATATCTTCTCTGAAGGCCATCAGTGAAAAGCAGATCTTGAACCCTTTCATCAAGTTTCTGGAATGATATAGAAAGGACTGAATCTTTCTTCTTTTCCTTAATGAGAAAAATTCTTACCCTGTCTGGAGAATGGAGAAACAGAGCTCAGATGGATTTATGGGGAGGTGTCTCTGAGGCATTCATAGATATGGACCCAATGTATACTGAGCATGTAGGGGATTCACTGAGACCCCAGGGCTCACAGGAGTGCAGTATTTGTACATAGAGTAGCATCTCTGTAAATTAAGTTATCATAAAATTTCATGTCACAGTGATGTAGAGTTTTGTCCTGGTACCAGTCCTGACTCTATATGTGAGACTCTTACTGTAAGAGTTGGCTACTTAATCTTCTCTATGCTTCTGTTTTCCAATATATAAAATAGTGATGACAAACACATACCCAGCAGATTTGCAGGGTGAGTGATGAGTGTGTGTGGAGGGGATGTAAATATGTAGCAGGAAGCATTGCACAAGGGAGTCCTATTATGAAATAAGAGAAGTGTGTGTGTGTGTGTGTGTGTGATATAGGGAGTTTATGTGTGTGTAATTTGTAGCATAAGGCATTGCATGAGGGATTCCTATTATTAAGAATCCTAATGGAAAGGGAGGGAGCGGGGAAGGGGGATAAATGACCCAATCATTGTATGCACATATGAATAGGTCATTTCTCCCCCCTGTTCCCTCCCTCCCTCTCCCCCCACCTCCCTTGCTTCCAGGCAGAACCTGTTTTGCCCTTTTCTCCAATTTTGTTGAAGAGAAGACGTGAGCAATAATAAGAAAGACTTAGCATTTTTGCTAGTTGAGATAAGGATAGCTATACAGAGAGATTCCTAGCATTGTTTCCATGCACAAGTGTATTATAACCTGAATTGATTCATCTCTACCTGACCTCTTCACTACTTCCTGGTCACCTTCCCATATTGACTTCTGTCGCTTTAAGGTTACTGTGTTAATTCCTCTGGAGTGGGGACATCAAACATTTTCATGTTTTGGGTTTCCTACCTATCCCATTCCTTCTGTATGTGCTCTCCCCTTAGCATGTGATCCAAGTCCAACCACATTGCTGCCTTTGCCCTAGATCTAAAGTCCACATATGAGGGAGAACATACGCTTTTTGGTCTTCTGAGCCTGACTAACCTTGCTTAGAATGATGTTCTCCAGTTCCATCCATTTACCTGCAAATGATAAGATTTCATTCTTCTTCATGGCTGAGTAAAATTCCACTGTGTATAAAAACCACATTTTCTTAATCCGTTCATCAGTAGTGGGGCATCTTGGCTGTTTCCATAACTTGGCTATTGTGAATAGCGCTGCAGTAAACATGGGTGTGCAGGTGCCTCTGGAGTAACCTGAGTCGCATTCCTTTGGGTATATCCCTAGGAGTGGGATTGCTGGATCATGTGGCAGATCTGTGTTTAGTTTTTTAAGAAGCTTCCATATTGTTTTCTAATATTGCATTCCCACCAGCAGTGTATGAGGGTTCCTTTTTCCCCACATCCTCGCCAACACCTGTTGTTGGTAGTGTCACTCCTATTTTTCAAGGTGTCGGTGTGGTATCCAGCACTGCCCTAGCCCTTTGTGATGTTTACCATGAACAAGAGCACGCCTGTTTGTTCTTCTTACTCTCAAAGGTGAAAGCCTTTGTCTCAGTGTTTCTTCTCTTTGTGTCCAAGACTTGTTTAGGTGGCAGCAACCTGTTCTGATAGAGCGTCTATTTTTCCAGGATCTTTACCCAAACCGAACAAGAAGAAATCATCTTTTAATATCCTATATTTACTGTGAAATCAAACATAGAGCACTAGATGATCAAAAGAATTTCATCTTCCATGATTTGGGTAGTAAATTTGAGGAACTCTCCTAGCAAACAGGGAGCTCTCTCGGAATGATGACAGACAGGACCTGCCTGATGGAGCCTCTGTTGTGTCTTTGGACAGATCATTGAAGCTAAGCTTAATTTTTTTTACAGTCCTCGTCTTCTATTTTTCTGTGAAGATATTTTTCAAAGTAGAATTGTTTAAGTTACGGCTCTAGATAAGGTTGTATAAAGAGGTATGAAATGTATCCAACAGGTGGGAAGTGAGATGATTGATTTTAAAGACTGGAGACAGATATTTTAAAGTATTTGTTATGTTTTTATTTTAATGTGAGTGAACAGCTAACACAACAGTCTGTAGTTTCGTGTATAATCCTGAGCTCTTCTCTAAAATTCCTACAGGTCCATACTCATCCTTTACAGCCAGTTCAAGTGTCCCTTTATTCTGGACACCATCCTCATCCCATCAGGATGAGTATCCTCCTTCTCTGCCCAAGAACCACGCTCACACAGTTGTTTGACCTCAGTCATATTGTAACACCATGTTTGTATATTTTCATGTGCTTCTCTGTTGGACAAAAAAAGTGCATTTAATGTATCAAACCAGGGACTCTGGTCCAGATCTTCAGAAAAGACCATTAGGAACTGGATCCCCATTCTGTTGAAAAACAACAGAAGAGTGCAATTCTACAACTGGTGGACCCTACCTTTCTCTGCCTCATACAAGGTGATTAAAATGTGAATTAAATTTTTAAAAACCCGCTTCTACAGGCCCCAAGTTCTGCATTGGGTTATGGCAGGTTATATTTTGTGTGCCACAAACAGTAGCAGCATCAGCACAAGTTGTATTAAGAAAAGTATTTTTGTTTTTGCAAAACCGTCTGTAACTGTTAACTACCCACATTGCATCATTACATTGGGGGTGGGCCATAATGATATGCTGGATTTCAAACCACTGAGCTGCAGTTAAATTATCTGGAGGGGCCTGTAATGAGGGCACTATTCCCAGGAGCCCCAGCAGCAGCAGGAGGCAAAGTCGGGAATGGAGCAGCTTTGCAACCATGTTTCCTGTGGGAAAGAAGAGAAGTGACAGACCCTGAATCTTGACTCAGTTATGATACACCGTCATCCCATCCTGCACGCTCCTGCTGTTCTGTGGGTCATATGGCCATTCAATTCCCATTCCTAAAATGTGCCAAGTCCCTGGGCCCAAACTTCAGCTGAGCCCTCTCACCTGTGTTGCCCCACTGCTCTCCTATCCCATCTCTAGGGCTCCATGCCTTACCCAGTCTTGTGCTGTGTCTCCTGTGAGAACACA